AAACCCTAAACCCTAAACGTCTAAACGTCTAAACCCTAAACCCTAAACCCTAAACCCTAAACCAAGCAAGGACCTGGGCCCAGCCATCTACGTCCACCTCGGCCCCGCTGAAGAACTCCTCGAGCGCTTTAAAGAGAGGGGTTAGGGTTGAAGATTTAGGGGGTCAAGGGTTTAGGGTTTTGGGTTTAGGGTTTAGGGTTTAGAGTTTAGGGTTTCGGGTTTTAGGTTTTAAGGAGTTAAGGTTTAGAGGTTTGGGTTTAGGGTTCAGGGTTGAGGGTTTTAGGGTTGAGGGTTCAGGGTTTGGGGTTTAGGGGCTGGGCTGCTGAGTCTTCTGGGCCAGGGCTGGCTGTGAGCTGGGTTGGGATGGGGAGTACTTGTGAGTGATGGCCGTGAAAACATACAATACAACTTCTATGTTCATGGTGCTGTTTGAGGGGCCTTTATACTTACAATATGGGTTGTATAGGGTTGAAAAAGGGTTTTATGGTGTTTCGCCACGGTTTTGCATGGTTTTGGTGCTGGGGCCTTACTAATTGGAAAGGTTTTTGGGGGCAGGGTCTACGCAGGGTTGACAGAACGGACTCTCTCTGAAGTGGAAGGCATGGGGTTTAGGGTTTCAGGTTTAGGCTTAAAGCGTGCCATTTCGTGCGTCGGGTCCGAAGACCCCGAGTACTGCATCAAGCGGCGACGCTCCTGCATGTACAAGCCATGTCCGGGAGCTTCCAAGATGGGCTACACAAGTCAACGGCAAGCCGGGCAGGCGCCCCGACACGGTCGAGGCATTCAAAGTAGCACCAAAGCAAAGTGAAGCGCAGCCTCCTGGCTAGGGGAATGGACCGCCGTCATGGCTTGGAAAGCCCAAGGGCGCGTTGGGCCGCCGCTTTGTGGTAGCCGGGGCCGTGGTCAACAATGGCGCGGAGCTCAGTCCTGGCCTTGGCCCGAACGGGGTCCCAGTGGGGTCGGCCACAGGGCCCCGGGTTGGCTCGGTAGCAAAGTGGCCGCAGTGAAGGCAGGTACCTGGGTCCCCGGTCGGGCGAAGCTGTCGGGGGTTGCCCTGAGGCTGTGGCTCCGGCACAGCAAGGCGTGCCCACGCATCAAGGATGGCGGCAAGACCCGGCTTCAAGTCAGCAGGAACGGTCTGTTACTGCGCCCTAAACCCTTGACTAAGACCGCACATGCAGCTCAGGATAGGGTACTTTCAACTCTATATCCAGCCTGCTCCGGCCCTGAATGGCGACGATGACGATGACGATGACAGTGACGGTGACGGCGATGGTGATGGTGATGCTGAGGGTGAGGGTGAGGCTGCGGGTGATAGTGATGGTGATGGTGAAGGTGATGGTGCGGGTGATGATGATCATGATGTTGATGATGGTAATGATGATGATGACGGTAATGATGATGGTGATGATAGTGATGATGGTGATGATGGTGATGATGGTGCTGACGGTGAGGTGATGGTGATAGTGATGGTGATGGTGAAGGTGATGGTGAGGGTGATGATGATGATGATGATGATGATGGTGATGACGATGATGACGATGATGACGATGACGACGACAACGACGATGATGATTGTGATGGTGCTGGTGATGGTCACGTTGGTGATGGTGGTGATGGTGGTGCTGGTGGTGATGGTGGAGATGGTGGTGATGGGGATGGGGATGGCCGTGACGGTGACGGTGACGGTGGTGCGGGTGATGAGGGTGATGAGGGTCAATGAGTATGATGACGATGGTGGCGATGGCGATGTTGACAGCAATGAAGAAGACGACGACGGCGGCGATGACTTCCGGGCTTTGGGCTTTAAACCCTGTGAAACGCTACAAACCCTGTCCTGCAAGCCAAATTGGGGGTTTGAGGCCTACGGCTTGCAGACGCGGGCCTCCAGCACCCATCCGGCTGCCGCATCCTCCTTCTTTCGCTTACATCGCACCCGAAACCCTAAACCCTTAACCCTAAAGAAGTGACTATGTCTTTCCGAAAGGTGACCACCATGAACCCTAGACCAGTTGAGTTTTGGGCCTTGGTCTTAGGGCTTAAGGATTCAGGGTTTAGGCTTTAGGGTTTGGGGTTTGGGGGTTCCTCATTATAAGTATAGTATAATATGCCCCAAACCGTATTCTAATTATTCAGGCCCTATCATGCTTTGGGGGATCTTAGGCTTTGAGTTTGGGGTTTGGGGTTTAGGGTTTAGGGCTTAGGGTTGATATTCCTAAAATCTTACCGGCCTTCTTATCATGATGTAAGGAATACTTCTCAACCACAAGGTATTGAGCTCTCCGGGAAGATAGTTTGGAGCTCAGGGTTTAGGGTTTAGGGTTTAGGGTTTAGGGTTTAGGGTTCAGGGTTTAGGGTTCCGGAATTTAGGGCTTAGGGTTTAGGGTTTAGGATTGAGGGTTTGGGGTTCAGGCTTTGGGGTTGGTAACTAGAACAAGGCTCGGGGGTATACTGTGCTATAGACAGAACGAGAAGCCTTCGGATGCTTGCACCCCAAACACCCAGACCCCTGCAGTAGGGTTTAGGGTTTAGGGTTTAGGGCTTAGGTTAGGGTTTAGGGTTTAGGGTTTAGGGTAGAAACCAGAAAGTTGGAGCATCACCCTAAACCCTGAACCCTAAATCCCGGAACCCTACACCCTAAACCCTAAACCCTAACGTACAGAGAGATTCCCAGCGCCACGCATCCGCAACCACAAAAGGGCGGCGCTTAGGAAGGCGCGACACAGCAGGGAGCATCCAGAAACTGGCGGTGGTGCCATCATGATTGGCAACAAGCTGATGCGCGTCAGAGGGGTCCAGGGTGCTGGCACGCACCCACCAGGTGCACTGGCCACGGCGAAACTGTCGGCGTAGCACTTCGATTTCAGAAACCGAAGTTTGGTCCCGCACACGCTGCTGAACATCATCATCAGACCAGGCGGCTGGCATCCCAGCAATGCACCATTGCCGCCGAGTCGGCCCTACAACCCCTACACCCCAAACTCTAACACCCTAAAGCCCCTAAAACCCGTACATCGCCAAACCCTAACACCCAAAGCCCCCTAAACCCCCTATAGATCCCTTATAGATCCCTATTCAAGGAACCCTAAACCCTATACCCTTTGTACACCCTAAACCCTAAACCCTTATGGAGCCCTTTAAAGGAACCCTAAACCGTAAGGGATCCCTTTTCAAAGGAACCCTAAACCCTCATGGATCCCTTTTTTAAAGGAACCCCAAACCCTCATGGATCCCTTTTTAAAAGGAACCCTAAGCCCTTATAGACCCCTTTTTAAAAGGAACCCTAAACCCTTATAGACCCCTTTTTAAAAGGAACCCTAAGCCCTTATAGATCCCTTTAAAGGTGCCCTACACCCTAAACCCTTTAGATAGATCCCTTTACAGCAACCCCAAACCTCTAAAATTCAAACCCGTAGGGTTTAGGGTTAAGGGTTTCAGGGGTTTAGGGTTTAGGGTTTAGGGTTTAGGGTTTAGGGTTTAGGGTTTAGGGTTTGAGGTTTAGGGTTTAGGGTTGTAGGGGTTTAAGGCTTCAGGGGTTTCGGGGTTTCGGCCCAGGGCCTGCGGAGTTCTCTGCTCGCCGAGCAGGGACTCCTCGCAAAAGGAAACGCTGAGTTTTTTGTGTTTTTTGCGGGGAGGGAGGCCCTTCTAAACGTTCAGGGCTTCAGAGTTTAGGGTTTAGGGTTTAGGGTTTGGGGCTTAGGGTTTAGGGTTTAGGGTTTGGGGCTTAGGGTTTAGGGCTTAGGGTTTTTAGGGTTTCAGGGTTTAGGGTTTTCTTGGTGGGTCTGGGGTCCTAGACTTTGGAGTTTGGCGGGGGGGGTGTTTGGGGGGTTTCAGAAGGGTGGTCGCTCTGTTGGATTCAGGGTTCTGGGGTTTGAGGTTTGGGGAGACCTCGGGTTGGAGGTTTGGGGCTTGGGAGACGTAGGGTTGCAGGGTTAAGGGTTTCAGGGGTTTAGGGTTTAGGGTTTAGGGTTTAGGGTTTAGGGTTTAGGGTTTAGGGTTTAGGGTTTAGGGTTTAGGGTGTAGGAGACTCAGGGTTGTCCTTGGAGGATCATGGGACTTTGTAAGTAGGGTTATAACTACCTTAATTGGGGCTATAATTACTTATAAGCATAGTTACCTTATGTATAACCCTAGTTACTAAGCCCCATGATCCTCTAAGTAGGGCTTCAGGGTTTCTAGGGTTGCGGGTTTGGGGTTTTTGGTGTTTAAGGGTTTGGGGCTTTTAGGGTTTAGGGTTTAGGTTTTTTGGTGTTGAGGGGTTTTGGGGTTTTAGGGTTTGGGGTTTAGGGTTTTTGGTGTTTAGGGCTTCAGGGTTCTAGGGTTGCGTGTTTAGGGTTTTTGGTGTTTAGGGGGTGGGGGTTTAGGGTTTAGGGTTTGGGGCTTTTGGTGTTTAGGGGTTTGGGGGTTTAGGGTTTAGGGCTTTTGGTGGTTAGGGGTTTGGGGGCTTAGGGTTTAGGGTTTTTGGTGGTTAGGGGTTTGGGGGCTTAGGGCTTTAGGTTTTAGGGGGGGTAAGGGTTTAGGGTTTAGGGGTTTAGGGTTTGGTGTGGGCTTGGAACCAAACTGGGTGTTTGGGGAAGAGTTGTTGTAGGGTTCATATAGGGGTTGTTACATGGGCTACTTACTATTTGCCGTTTTGAGGGTTTGGGTCTAAAGGGTTTATTGTTCAAGATGTGTCTAGGTCTAGGGGTTTAGGGGTTTGACAAAAGTGGCTACAAGAGTTACTCTTAGTACGCAGACTGTAGAAATTCTACCTTTTCAAAAAAATTCAACAAGGACCCCTGCATACCTTGTCAGGAGGCGAAGACTTGCCTTCTACATTGCATGCAAGAGAAGAGGACCAGCATAGGGCATCCATGCCCCACACTCGAGTTCTGCTTCCTCTACCCTAAACCCTAAACCCAAAACCCACCCCCAACCCCTAAACCCTAAGCCCTAAAGGCCCTACGCCCTATCTGCAAAGCAAGGCGCATTCAGGCGCGGGAACGCTTCGAGCAGGTGGTCTTCAGACTCGGACTTGAGGCAGTAGTAGCTGCCAGCACCTGGGTAGAATACTAATAGTACTGATAATGGAAATAATACTAACAATACAGAGAAATAATACTAATAACACTCATAAAACTATTAATACTAACAATACTAATACTACTAATTATATTAATAAAACTCATAATACTACAATCCTAATAATCAAAATAATACTCATGATACTAATAATACTAATCATAAAAATAATAAAACTCATAATGTAGGGGTTAGGGATTAGGGTTTAGGGTTTAGGGTTTCGGGTTTAGGGTTTTAAGGTTTATCTTTATCTTAAATGGAGTCATAGGTAGCAAGTATATGCAGAGTTACCTTGGTTATCATCCTGAGTACTAAGTCCTATGACCCTTGAAGTATCCCCTGAACTTTTATAGATCCCTCATAGAACCCTTTACGGAACCCTTTAAAGGAGCCCCAGTTACTAAAGACCTAGACCCAGATCAACCCCCAAACAACAGCCCACAAACCTTTGAGGCGCCCCCCCAAAAGCCGAAAGCCAAGAGACCCCCACTTCAGGGGGTCTGCTGGCGATGGTTTAAAGTTTAGGGCTTATAATTTAAGTAGTTCTGTAAAATAGGGTCCCTTTTTGGGCCCCCACCCTTGGTGGGGGGGCCCCAAAGGTTCTTGGCTCTCCTCGTGCCTGAAGCTATGACTGAGGTAAGTAATACTTATAATTGCATATAACCCCAACTGAGGTACTTACAGCCTTAGTTCCTAAGTCTCATGATCCTCCAGGTAGGGTTTAGGGTCTGGGGTTTAGGGTTTAGGGTATCGGGCTTATATTTTTTCTGAGGATAACAGTCTCGAGGATGTAGGCTTTTCGGATTTAAGCCTTAGGCTAGAACAAAATGTAGGAATTACGGTGCCGGAGTTGTAGAGGATCATATGAGGCTTTGGGGATAAATATGGTTTAGCATATAGCCTTTACACAAAGGAGTGAGGATTCCAAGTGTAGGGATCATATCGGGTTTAGGGTTTAGGGTTTAGGGTTTTTGGGGGTTTGGGGTTTAGGGTTTAGCGTTTAGGGGTTAGGGTTTGAGATTTCAAGTTTAAGGCTTATTGCTTTGCAAGGATGAACTCCTTCGTCGTTCGCTACCAAAAGACCTAGAGACCCTAAACCCTAAACCTAAAACCTAAACCCTAAACCATAATTAAGGGTTTTGGGCTTAGGGTCTTAAGGGCTAAGTAGGTTTAGGGCTTCGGGTTCAGGCTCTACCGCTCTGCCGAAGTTGTCATGCAACAAGATCTAGCATAGGGGCCTTGATAGTTAGAATGGGGTTTGGGGGCCCAGTCCAAACCCTCACTATACTTGTACTAAGGAGCCCCTAGGAATACTGGTACTATTCTCAGTTGAGCCCCTAAACCTCTGAACCTAAAGCTTCGAGGTGCGCACCTTTCGCTGGCTTCAGGATCACCGGGAAGGTCCAAGGAGCCTGCAACCCAGGAATTCTTGCGCCTAAACCATACCATTTAGGGTTTAGGGTTTAGGGTTTAGGGTTTAGGGTTTAGGGTTTAGGATTTAGCGCCTAAACCATACGATTTAGGGTTTAGGGCCTTCTAAACCCTGGCCTACGTGCCTCAATCCGAAAACCTAGGGCTGTAGATGTTTTGGTTCAGGGTCAGCGGCCCTACACCTAAAACAGACCCGTGCGGCCTAAACCCTAAACCCTAAACCCTAAACCCTAAACCCGCAAAAAGCTTAGCCGCGGCTACTTTCTTAGCTAGACCTCTACATTACGGGAGTCGCATTTGTAAGTTCTCTGCGTCCGGTGCGGTGACGGCTCGATCGGTGAAGCTTTCGGGCTAGGATGGAAAAAGCACAAACTCTCCCATTATGGTGTTTTGTTTATCACCCTTTTGTCCCTGCCAGGTACTTGTCAGGTCGGATGCCATGTTGGCTAAGGTCCGTTCAGGGCTTCGGGTTAAGGCTGGAGGAGTTTGTGCGTTTCGGGCTTTAGGGTAGCCAAGACGTCTTCAAAGAACCCAGACCACCGGAAGGATCTGAAAAATAGATCCCATAAGTTCCTTTAAAGTACCCCTAAGTAGTATAGGGTCCCAACGTTAGGGGATCTATCCTAAACCCTAAACCCTAAACCCTAAACATTTTTTGGAATCCTTCCGGTGGTCTGGGAAAGCATCAAGCTGGCTGCGGCTGCAAAGGCAGAGCCCGGCCGACAGGCGGTTGGACGCCCCTAGGCCCCAAGCCGGTCAAGCTTAGGGGTTTAGGGTTTAGG